AGCATATATGAAGAGGTTTTGAACCGTATATTTCTTGTCTGCATTTTTGGCACATGAAATATTTGGAATTTGATGGCATTTTATTGGATAAAAGATTTTATTTCACGTACACAGTTTTTACCAAAAAATGAGTAAATTTTCTCAACTACTTGTTACATTTAACATTTGTTTGTTTTTTTTTTTGGATAAAAACCACCCTCTTTTGCAGATTCACTTCAGATTAACAACTCAATATATCATTATTTTAAGTATGACCCCTCGTGGCGCTGACGAAAAGGTTCTCGATAGATGGAAAGAGACTAAAATATTTAAGCACTGGGTCGGGCGTGCCCGGCAAAAACGGTGAAGATGAAAGTAACTTCATGTAGACAGGACTTTGTTGACAATTTTTATTTTCAATGCCTACGTTAGACCTAGCGTTGTTATTAAACTGACTAAAAATGTTTAAATAGAATCAAAGCATTCCGTGCGCCACTCCTTTATTTTGAAAAGCAAGTACAGAAAGCTGAATGTAGATCCATAATTTTTCCTATTCTCCAAAAGTGGACTCTGCTTGTCAATCAGACCGCTTTCTATCGCCAGTTAAGTGACGAACGAGTTAAATATTAATGGTTTCACATTAATACACAATGCAAACTAAATATTAGTTTATACATATTCATGAAGAACAATACAATGGTAATTGTTTGCCACTTATTTATTTGCGCTTAATGTGTTTGGCCATCATCGATTTACTGTCGTTGCTCCAATGCTTCTATTAGTACTTTCTAATGTAAGGAAGACACATGATAGGATGAAGCTATTTTGTATCACCAACAGTGTTGATAAACTAAATGCCATTGTCGGTGTTTATTTTCTACAGCAAGTCAAAAAAATAGAAATATTAACTGAAGACTGTAGAAAAAAGTACTGACAGAAGAAAGTGACAATTACAAACATACGTGATAACCGCTACTAAATTCATCTAGAATAATTCTCAGAGGATTTCCAAAAACTAGTTCAATAACCGCCGGCACTCTCATTGTAATCATACTTCACATTGCACCAGACGACGGACTTTTTGAACGGATTCAAGGATATTAATTCAATACCAGCAGACCTTACTAAGTGCATTCTAAATACCAAAATCGACAGCAGACGACAGACAGGGTATTTCGGAAAATTAGCTCATATTAATGCAAACGAAATCCCTTGTGTGTTTTGGAAAATTAGTTCAGGAACAATTGGCACTATTGGTGTATTTTGGACTGTAGAGAAAAGAGCTGAAAGAAAAAAGTAAATAACAACCATACATGATAGCCGATACTAAATTCATCGAGAACCATTTTCAGAGTATATTGGAAAACTAGTTCAATAGTCGCCGGCACTCTCAAAACGGATTCAAGGATATTAATTCAATACCTGCAGATCTAATAGTGCATTCTGTATGCCCACAGCAACAACAGACGACAGCAATGTTCAGGGTATTTCGGAGAATTAGCTCAAATTGAGGCAACCGGCATTCCTGGTGTGTTTGGAAACTTAGTTCGGCAACAACTGACATTCTTGGTATATTTGGGTAACTCATTTCAACACCTGATGTTATTCCTGCAGTTTTTTAAATAAAGAATTCTGGCATAAAAGGTATTCACAGATACATCACCAACAAAGATACAAGATACAACAATTGTGAATTTCTTTATCAACACACAGAATGCGCCTATTGATCGAAAGACACCTTCTGGTGATAACGTTTTTCCTGCTCGAAGTGTTTGCAGGTAAGTAGTCAATTTCAATAATTCTATAATGGCAAGTTTATATTTTTGATAAATAAGGTAGTATTTTAAGTGAAACAATGAAATATATAAGCGTTTTGATCACACTGAACAGTAGCCCTATATTATGATGTACCCCATTTTAAGCTTATGTAATACATTAAAAGTCGCAATACATATGTGCATACAATAGCAACGAATCTATACACTTTGCTATAATTCAGGGACCATCAAATTTAATATGGTTATTAAAATCAAAACTGATTTCCCCTTTATATATGAACCTTATCGTTCTCCCTTCAGTGTCTCTTTTTGTTTTCGGTGCCATATGTCACCAAGCGATACAACCAAGGTAACGATAACCCGGATTTAACTGGGGCATTTAGGGATGATGATGCTGCAGATTGGAAATGCTTTTCTCTAAACTGTAAGTGTAGCTTCTATGTCCTTGCTTAAATGGTCAGAAGTACGATGATCTTTCGACTTCTAGTTGTTTCGCATTTTGATGCCCATCCATTCGCATGCCGGTCTGTCTTAATGGATAACAATTCCAGAACGAGCACACTCAAAATGGTATTTATTTGTGGTGGACAAACATCAATCAGTTATTACGTAGCTGGATGAGAGCGACTGTCACGAAATAAATTGTTGTCAGACTTTTAGAATAATTAAAAAAAATATATACTAATACTAATTTTCATTTAAATGACCGTAGGCCCTAGTGGAAAACAACACAATCTTGAAGACTTACACCAAAGAAAATCATGCTATAAATTTGACACATTATAAAGCCCTGTACAAAAACATAAAACCAGAAGTCTTAAGGGTTAGTTTACTAGTAACACGACCTTCAGTTCTATTGTAAACTCCCATTTCCATGGAAGTCAGCAATCAATGCAACTCAGATTACCTGATCAGAGATCAAACCAAATCCCAAACTGAACGCCTTGAAAGTATAGCTAGACATTTTAAGAACATTCAAGTCATCAACAGTGACAGCTAATTTGCCACCATATTTTTAGCCCAGTAGTAACTTGTCACTGGTTAACCTCTCTTTTATGTAAGTGTTAAATATGCCAAAAGTTTGGTTATGAAAATGTAATAAATAGAATATTTAATAGTGTCTTCAGTAATAAATATATTTCACTCATTTGTCTAATATTTTTGTATCTTTCACTCGTGCTGCGCGTTCATGGAATAAACTAGAATATTAGATACTCTTGTGAAATATTAAATATCCTTTATCTACCCTACTTTGCCTATCCTGGCTAGCAGTGACCGTTAGCTAAAACACACAGAATTCGTGCGATAAACCTATAATGTTAAATGTATCAATATATAAATACTTATTATCGTCAGCTTGAAATAATGGAAATGTTAGAAACTGAAATAAAGGAATAAAGTATAAAAAGTAATCAAAGTAAATACAATGATGGTTTCATATTCTATGTAGTATTGGAATATAATATCTATATATGCTATTTTTGGGACGATATTAAAAATCGACTCAATAACACAAAAGAAAGCTCTCTCGTTATGGTGATTAAATGACCTTGGATAACAATATTCATGACGTTAAATCGGCAATGTAGGTAACTACACAAAAGGTGAAAAATGATTTAAGTGAGCGTTAATCAATGTTTGGTGAACGGCAATGTCGGGCTGAACAGATGCAAAAACATGAAACGCTTGGTCGTATTTCTTTCAAACTTTTTAGGTTGCATATTTTAAGGTCATAATATCGATTTAGTTCGAGTGTGAAACATATCTTGCCATGTCAATGCATTTTTTTTTTGTACTAAAGAAAAAAATAAGTTACTGTATATCTATATTAAGTACCTGTCTTGTTACCGCCATTCAAAGGCTCCGGTAAGCTCAATACTTGACATGTAAGGAAAAGTGTGTTCCATGTATGTTCAAAAAGGTGAAACCTATTACAGAAAACAACTATTTTGCAACAATAAATTATCCGACTTAAAAAGAAATCATGAAGCTAATGTTATCGTTTCCAGGCCTTAACCTATGAACGAATTTCAGTTTGTTTTTCTGATGTTTTTCTACCTGGTAACAACCAAGATGATATTAAAAGAGGGTGTCTGCGGTTGATAAATACACGTATAGTTAATATTGATAGTGTTGTTACAGTTTAAGTGTTGTAATCTATTAACGGTATGATGACATCTGATTGATAAGTTGTAGGCCTTATATTGAAGAAGGTAATCAGGGGTGCCCTTTTTCAGCTCTATCATTCTCTGACTATTTAAGGCTGTGTACTCAAAGACACGTGTGATTTGATTAGTTTATAAAGACGAGGTAGTACTGTAAAGGAAACAAGGCAAGTGACTTTTGCAAAATGGACAAAATCGCTCAAGGAGCAGTTATTCAGTATTTGCAGAACAAAGGTCGTCTAGCAACACTAGGGAATGATGCCCCTTCATATGCTTTATTGAAAAAGGTGGGTGGTGGAATTTAAGCGTGGCATGCAGAGCCTTGAGGATGATGCCAATCCTGGAAGGCCTGTTACTATTGCAATGATCAATAAAGCCAAAGATATTGTTATGACTGACAAGCAAATTGCAGAGAGATATACAGCCAGTTCAGTTTGGATTTCACAGGAAAGTTTACATTCTATTTTTACGAAAGATCTTGCAATGAAAAAGCCCTCACCCTGTTGGGCACCAAGACTTCTGACAGCTGATAAGAAGCACACCAGGCAGTCTTTGTCGCGGGCTAATCTGAACGTTTTAAAGACAGATCCTGCTAGCATTTTGTGACTATGGTTTTCTGGGATGCTGATGGTATTCTGATGGTAGATTTGCAGAGGGACAAGCAATCAGTGGCACATAAAATGCATGACTTCTTAGGCAGAGAAAATATTAAACACAAGCACCGCGGAAAACTCAGTAAAAGGGTATTGTTTCAACAGGACAATGCCTCTGTTCACAATTCTGTTTTTGCCATGGCTACCATTAGCATCCACTTAATTCGCCTGAACTCGCTCCATCAGATTTTCATCTATTTCCAAAATTGTAAAAGGCCATTTGCAGTATGGATATTACCGTTTGAAAGCAGAGCTTACCTTCCGGTGTTACGTTGGTCCGCCATCTTGAAAAGTCCTATCCATCGGACGATCACGACAGTATTATATATCCAAAAATGTTTATTTGTAATTTTCATAATTCAATTCCATGTCAGTATTTCATTTCCACTAAGCCTTTACGTTTAAACTTATGTTCATCCTTACAGATGTGAGTTTTACAACACCTCAGCAATCCACATCATATGATCAATATTCTTATACCCTGTTAAGTAACTATGGGTACACGATGGGAACGAACACCTGGATAGTGTTAAAGATTCGGTCCTGTGAGGATGGTTACGTTGGACTCATGAGAAAAAATCATCCTAAAAACCATGGAGATATATATGAGGTTGTGATCGGAGGATGGGGAAATACAAAGACATGTATAAGGGAGGTGCGTCAGGGACAGTGTAATGCTGAAAAAACAAAAGTTGTTCTGAACTGTAATGTGTACCAAACGTTCAATATTTCATGGACTGGGGGAACTGTAGCCGTCTTCACAGATGATAATGGAATTTGGACAAAACTTCTTCAATGGATCGATACATCACCGTTTACAGTTAAGTTTGTTGGTGTTACGACCTCAATATGGGCAACTGGCTATTGGAAAATACCACAACAAGGTGAGTGAAATGTAATTCCACGTCGTTTAAAATCTGAAAAATCTTATTACACGCTCTGTTGACTAAATACTTCGTTGACCACGATCTTTCTTTACCATAGCGTAAAATTGGCCAGAAAAGGCATTTGTCTCCTGTTTTAACTATTGAAAGTCATCACTAGAAAAGGCATTACAGTCCTGATAAAACATGCCTCGTGTACATAATCATCCACTCACAATGTGAAGGTAATTTTGTAATTAATGTATGGGTTATAATTGTTTGTATTGTAAGATGTTTAAGAGTTGATCTTATACACATCAAGAGAACTTCATCAAATCTTGTATAATGAATCTAAAAATGTTTCTCTTTAACTCTCTTAATGACAGCGTTACCTAAGAGTGCAAATCTATGAATCCATTCTGACTCATCTGGCAAAACCATTTACTATCGTCAGAAAGAAATTGGTATAAATAACCTGATCTATATTGTGAACAGTTAACACACAATCGACGGGGCTAGCGAGATAATTGTTTGAGACCGTGATTTTAATTTAATATGAACAGCGTAGTCAAGGCGGACTTTCTTCTGTAACATTGTAATTACATATTAGGTCTACTTTTTAAGATTGTCCCCTGTAGAAATTCATAACATTTAAGTAACCAGCACAAGTGAAAGAAAAACGTCAACTAAGATGCCGTAAACTAATTATAACTTAATCCACTTTGTAAGCTTGTATATTGTTAAGAAACGATTCAAACACGGGCCGGTCGATTCAGATTTAGGTCTCATTGATTGACCATTTAATCAGAAAAAAAGAAATGTAAACACAAACCAACAACAATAATTGACGAAGAAGTCGTAAATGAGATATTAAAATGTATAGCCAAAAACCTGCTGATGTGCTGCATTATATTTTTCAGAAATAACAACTACTACTACAACGACAACTACAACTACAACCACCACGACACCTACAACCACCACGACACCTACAACCACCACGATACCTACAACCACCACGACACCAACAACCACCACGACACCAACAACAACCACGACACCTACAACCACCACTACACCTACAACCATCACGACACCTACAACCACCACGACACCTACAACAACCACGACACCTACAACCACAACGACACCTACAACCACCACGACACCAACAACCACCACGACACCTACAACCACCACGACACCAACGACCACCACTACACCTACAACCACCACGACACCTACAACACCTACAACCACCACGACACCTACAACCACCACGACATCAACAACCACCACTACACCAACAACCACCACGACACCTACAACCACCACGACATCAACAACCACCACTACACCTACAACCACCACGACACCAACAACCACCACGACAACTACAACCACCACTACACCTACAACTTCTACTACAACCACTACAACTACTCTTTCAACCAACACTAAACAAACAGCAATCCCCGTTTGTCATTGCCGCCCATCTTGTGCACAAGTTGATCCGAATGGCTTCGAAGAGGAAATTCGATCCAAACACATCATCGATAAAAAGGCACTATCCTCTTATCGTCGGAGCTTGATTAGCGCTCCAGATAGTCGTCAATCATCTAGGATGATTGGTTATACAGGGATACTGATGATAACATGTACATTCGGACCAATATTACTTTCTGATTTTTTCAAGTTTGTTTGTGCTATTAAATCTTTATTATGCTCGTGAAACTATCTGCAGTGATGACCAACAATTCGGATGGTTTATAAACGAAAAACATTTTCGTTTAAAACATTTTAATGGTGCAATGTTTATCGTGTATTCCACTTGTACCATAGTTTTCTGATTGACAAGTGACCTACAGTCTATATTTAGTGGAAAGACTAAAGAAATAATAGCATATGGCATTGGTATGTCGTGGCTTGGAGACACAGCCCTTAGTGTATCATGATCCATGAATGTGTCGTGGCTTGGAGACACAGCCCTTAGTGTATCATGATCCATGAATGTGTCGTGGCTTGGAGACACAGCCCTTATTGTATCATGACGCATGAATGTGTCGTGGTTTGGAGACACAGCCCTTAGTGTACCATGATCCATGAATGTGTCGTGGCTTGGAGACACAGCCCATAGTGTATCATGATGCATGAATGTGTCGTGGCTTGGAGACACAGCCCTTATTGTATCATGACGCATGAATGTGTCGTGGCTTGGAGACACAGCCCTTAGTGTATCATGACGCATGAATGTGTCGTGGCTTGGAGACACAGCCCATAGTGTATCATGATGCATGAATGTGTCGTGGCTTGGAGACACAGCCCTTATTGTATCATGACGCATGAATGTGTCGTGGATTGGAGACACAGCCCATAGTGTATCATGACGCATGAATGTGTCGTGGCTTGGAGACACAGCCCATAGTGTATCATGACGCATGAATGTGTCGTGGCTTGGAGACACAGCCCATAGTGTATCATGACGCATGAATGTGTCGTGGCTTGGAGACACAGCCCATAGTGTATCATGACGCATGAATGTGTCGTGGCTTGGAGACACAGCCCATAGTGTATCATGATGCATGAATGTGTCGTGGATTGGAGACACAGCCCTTATTGTATCATGATCCATGAATGTGTCGTGGCTTGGAGACACAGCCCATAGTGTATCATGATGCATGAATGTGTCGTGGCTTGGAGACACAGCCCATAGTGTATCATGATGCATGAATGTGTTGTGGATTGGAGACACAGCCCTTATTGTATCATGACGCATGAATGTGTCTTGGCTTGGAGACACAGCCCATAGTGTATCATGATGCATGAATGTGTCGTGGCTTGGAGACACAGCCCTTATTGTATCATGACGCATGAATGTGTCGTGGCTTGGAGACACAGCCCTTAGTGTATCATGATGCATGAATGTGTCGTGGCTTGGAGACACAGCCCTTATTGTATCATAATACATGAATGTGTCTTGGCTTGGAGACACAGCCCTTATTGTATCATAATACATGAATGTGTCGTGGCTTGGAGACACAGCCCATAGTGTATCATGATGCATGAATGTGTCGTGGATTGGAGACACAGCCCTTATTGTATCATGATCCATGAATGTGTCGTGGCTTGGAGACACAGCCCATAGTGTATCATGATGCATGAATGTGTCGTGGCTTGGAGACACAGCCCATAGTGTATCATGATGCATGAATGTGTTGTGGATTGGAGACACAGCCCTTATTGTATCATGACGCATGAATGTGTCGTGGCTTGGAGACACAGCCCATAGTGTATCATGATGCATGAATGTGTCGTGGCTTGGAGACACAGCCCTTAGTGTATCATGACGCATGAATGTGTCGTGGCTTGGAGACACAGCCCATAGTGTATCATGATCCATGAATGTGTCGTGGCTTGGAGACACAGCCCATAGTGTATCATGCCATGAATGTGTCGTGGCTTGGAGACACAGTGTGTATCATGTGGCTTGGAGACACAGATTGTATCATAATACATGAATGTGTCGTGGCTTGGAGACACAGCCCTTAGTGTATCATGACGCATGAATGTGTCGTGGCTTGGAGACACAGCCCATAGTATATCATGATCCATGAATGTGTCGTGGCTTGGAGACACAGCCCTTAGTGTATCATGACGCATGAATGTGTCGTGGCTTGGAGACACAGCCCTTAGTGTATCATGATCCATGAATGTGTCGTGGCTTGGAGACACAGCCCTTAGTGTATCATGATCCATGAATGTGTCGTGGCTTGGAGACACAGCCCTTAGTGTATCATGATCCATGAATGTGTCGTGGCTTGGAGACACAGCCCTTAGTGTATCATGACGCATGAATGTGTCGTGGCTTGGAGACACAGCCCTTATTGTATCATAATACATGAATGTGTCTTGGCTTGGAGACACAGCCCTTATTGTATCATAATACATGAATGTGTCTTGGCTTGGAGACACAGCCCTTATTGTATCATAATACATGAATGTGTCTTGGCTTGGAGACACAGCCCTTAGTGTAACATGACATTAGAGGATGTACAACTTAGTTAGACGTTTACAAAGGAATTTTACAGTGTATGTAGAAATATAAATGTAACATTGTTTTTTCACTTTGGACAGGAATCTGTAAAACGTTAGAATTATTGTGATTCAGCCGTTGTTACTTGTACAAAGAGACAATTCACGTGTATATATAATTCCATAACCATATATACATTTTGATGCAGATAGTGTGCCATTACTTGATCAAATCGTGATATCGCGTCGTTTATCCTAAATAGGTCAGAATAGACTTACGAATATGATGAACGTTAGTAGACTAAATTATTATACAAAGGTTTTATCAGTAATGTCTGTCATTGCAGTGTTATCATTATAGAAGTTCAATAAACGAAGTTATATTAAACAAATACAACATGTGACCTTTAATGGGTTATTTCCTGTTGAGTATTTCATATAATATTTGTTTTGTAATACTAGAATAAATGGCGTGGAGTTTCTGGAAATTTCAATTTTTATCGAACGATCTAAGATTTTGTTTTGTCTCTGATGTTTATGAAACTGTTGAAACATTTTCAAGTGAACACTCGAAGTTGCAAGTCATTATTCCCAGAGAGATCAATACCGAGTTCATAAAATTCTTATGTTTGCATTTTATGTAAAACTCCTGATTCCAGATTTCAAAGGCGTATAGGAAACTTGGAGTGACAAATGAGGCACACCATTTAACGTTATAATGGTTTTTTTTTATATTTTATTATACGATGCATTCTTTGCCTGTTTAGCTATTACTTATTTTGTCCAGCAGATGATTAATTATAGTTAAACAGTGTACCACGATAAAAAAATCTTAATAGGTAATTGAAAATGTTTACTTTTTTTTAATTTAGTACTTTCAACTGTCAACATTACCAAAACCCTTACTTGAATTTTGTATAAAACCTGGCAAAATATGAACGAAAGAAAAATTTCCACGGAGATTCCTGAAGATACCAGGAGGATAAGACCCGGTGTT